AAACTAAGCCAAATATAGTGGCAAGTGGCAACTGAAGATGGGCTCAGTTTTTGTGTCCATTTCACTACCAAAATACGTGGGAAAACGTCTCCGGCAAAAATAGTTATGACTGAAAGTCTCCGAACGAAAAAACAGGTTGAAAACACCTACTTGCATCTGAATAAGACGCTGTAACCGAGGAAGGAGAGAGAGAGTGAGACTCAAAGGAGAATGTAGGGTTGGGTTAAGCATGGTGACGTGAAATATATAGAGAGAGAAAGAGAAAAAGAGCGAGATTGGATATTGGGTTTTTTCATGCATTAATTGCATGGTCCCCCGCTAGTATACTGTATACCCAACAAAATACAATTTTGTGGGTGGGCCATGTTATTCTTGTAACATGAGGTTTGATGTGAAGAATATTACAATTCAATAAGACTTGAGGTGTTCTTTGTTATGGCCTAAGAAAAGGTGTTTTCTTGAACTTAAATGGTTCAGAACTAACAATTCCTTGGTCAAGTGGTTATATAATAATAGATAAAACTAAGGAATTATTAAAAAAAATAACTACCAAAAGGTCTATTAATCATTCTCTTTGTGGTTGGAATGCCTTTAAATTATAAAAGGAAGAAAACATCTGAAATCAGTGGAGGAAGCTGAGCTTTTTGTTATATATATGAAGGAATTCGTCAAGCACTTTAACCGGAAAAATCTATATCCATTGATCTGCTCAGATTCCCAACTGGCTGTCTATGCACTTCAAAACAAAACTTGTTTACATTGGTCATCTTTGGGGCTGTTAATGCAAACAAAAAACCCGTTTCACTTCCTACTTATTAATAAAAGGTTTAATGTTCCTGCTCATCAGGTAGCAAATCGGAACAATCATTTTTTGTTAAATTATTATCCTCAAGCTATATAGATATACAAAACTATGTATTTTATTCCTTTAGTTAAAATATTAATTTTATCGTAAAAAAAAAAAAATATAACATTGATTCAACAAGAGAAGGAAACTAAGGACACAAGTAACCGTGTTGGATGAATCAGTTAATAGTAATTTATTAATGGGGGATGCCTGATACCTTATTTTAATACGGACACTCTATCCCTACCGGCTAAATATTAACTGAGCATAACCATGTTCATATAAAACCGAAATCCATATTGACTTACTCACCTAATCCATATTTAGCTAACGATCCCAATATCTAAACCCAAACCTTCACATCCACCCTCTACATACATATAAATATATCAACATTAGTTTTAAAAAATATCTATAGATATTATATTAGAAAGAAGAAAGAGGAGAGGTGAGGGGTCCTCTAACTATAAAGTTTGCCTGCTCTTTCTATTCTTTTCATTTTTTTTTCACATATGTGGTTATCTATTTTTAATTAATGTTTTATTGTTCCTTAATGTTAAAAATAAGTAACTAACTAGAAAGAATAAACTAGGATAAGGATTACCTAGTTAGGCAAAGACTAGGAAATCAGAAACTAACTAACTCGGTTCGGTTCGGTTTCGATTTTCACACATGAAAATCAAAACTGAATCGAATTATCGGTTTATCCCTCTTCATAACCCGAAACCGAACGGTGGTGAAGAAAAACCAACCAAATTAGGTTGGGTCAGGTCGATTTGGCTGGTTTAATATTGTTTATGAACAACCCTACTTCTTTTTGATGTTTGCTCATTGATATTAATTGTTTTTTTTTTATTTATTAATTGCTTGACAATCTAGAATATGAACCAAAGTTCAGACGAACCCAATACAAAAACAGATTCGGAGGAGGAGATAAAGTCAGAGACAAAGACATGATGGAGTCAGAGCCAGAGATGGAGATAAAGACAGAGACGAAGATTGAGATGAAATGGATGGGTATTTTAGTAATTTTAAAAAATAAATCGGTTACATAATGTTACCTATGAATGAAGTGTAACGATAAATTAATGATAAGGGAAATTTAAGACAATTGCAAAAAAAAAAAAAAAAATTGAAGATACTTTAAGACAATATATAAACAAGAGTGAGAGTGAATAAACTAATCAATTAGCTAAACCATCATCGATAAGAATAATTTAAAAAATTTGCCCTAATAAAAAATCAGGGCAATGCAACCATGTCTCAACATCAACAATGGTTATAAAATAAAAGAAGATGAAGTATCTGTCACATCCAAACACAATCATATATCCAAATTTGGGTATTTATTAGATGTATGGATATTTTCATCGTTCCACGGAAGATGACATTTTACAATCACAACAGTCCATCCAGAATGCGACTTGTGCCTTGTGGTACCCTTTTTCAAAGCCTAGCAAGCCTATAAGGGGCCACATTGGGCCCAAACCACGTTTGAGTTTTGACAAGTAGAAGATTCGTTGGATGGTTGGTTCACCCTTATTTGCTAAATGAGTTCCGATCGACTAGCTAAGAGTCCTAGAGACCTGCTCCCGTACGTCAATCAAAATATCCTTTTATCATCTGGTACCGACTTACCGGCGGCCAGCTTGATGCCTTGACGCCTCACCATGCTTTCTCTTGTCCCGCTGCTCTGCTGCTGGTTTCAGGGATCACGGGCACACTTTTTGTTTTTGTCTTTGGTAGGCAAGGTAGGACAAAGCTCGGGTCCTTGTGTGTGGATAACACTGTAGAAGCCCAACCGGATTATCAAGTCCATATCCGATGTTTGGATCGATTTGGTTTTGGTTTAAACAGAAGTTTCATATTGAACTGTTTGGTTGAGTATCCATATTATGGATAAGTTATTTGTGTTAGGTCCTATTCGTTTTCATTCACTTGGATACCTATTTGATTTTATCGGGGCAAGTGTTTCTCAGGTTTCAATTGTTAGTTCCAGCATTTTTGACTTCAACAGTATGGTTTTTAAAATTGAACTAGACCAGAAAAACTGGTAATTGGTCACCTGACCAGTTCCGTTTTCTCCCAAAATCATTTTTTCCTCAAAACCGTTGATTTTGGTCAACAAATCGCTGACCCGGTTGGTTAATTGTTCAAATCATTTAAATCGTTCGAACGATTTTGATTGTTTTTCAATTTTTTCAATTTTTTTTACTATAACGGACTGATTATTCAAGTCAAACAGTTAGACCATTCGAAATGGTATCTGAACCCCTGACCGGTTCATCACCGGGATAGAGAGACCATTATCGATGTATCGGTAAATAATGTACCCACCTTCCGAGAGGGTTATTTGTTATTTGAATAACCGATACTCTGGAAAAATCGCTTACCGTGAGACGTAGTATAGCATCGTACGAATATGGGATCATGGTTAAATACCGATTGACTAATTTATCCCCGCAAGATATATACCAGCAAACGAATGGGAATTTACAATTACACTTCTAACAATAATAGGAATGACCATATTGGCTTTTAAGATTTCTACCAAACATAGATTGTAATTAGTTTCTGCACGGGGCCTAATTGGTTCTACGCAATGTTTTCAAAATCGGATTAGATCGGATGGTCCGATCGGAAAAATCAGGAACCAGTCACCAAATGGATTCCGTTTTATTTAAAAATCACTGTTTCGTTAAAATCATTAATTTGGTTAATGAATTGTTAACTTAGGCAGTTAAACCAAGAATGGTTTTTGATCAATTTTTAAATTTTTTATTTTTTTTGTCAGAATAAATCATCCATTCGAACCAAACAATATAACCGTTTAACCTGAAAACCGAACTCAAAACGATTCCCTACTCGGTCCGATTTTAAAAACTTTGATTCTACGTTTTAAAGCAGCTTTGACGAAGAAGCATCGACACCCTGCTGAGATGGCCGGTCTCTGACAAAGCTAGAGCTTCAAAAAAAAAAAACAAACGCAAGAATGTCAACAAAATGGAACTATAGGCTCAAATGGTTAAAGGTGACTCAGCTCCAAATAATTTATATCAACTAATGTACTTACTTCATGATTTATGCTAACTGCTAAGATTAAAGAAAGAGAGAAAGAAGACATTAAGTCATGTTGGACCAGAAACGTAGGCACGTAGCGGGATTTACAACTCCAATAAGTAAGCTTAAATTTCCTCAAGTTTCTGTTTGTGATGTGTGATGTGGTGGTGGTCAATGAAGCTGGATAGTGCGTCATGCGTCGTGCCAACGCGGACGTGTAACCCACATGTGTGGCTAACTGACTTTGTCTACAAAGTCCAAAAACACATAAATTAATTAAGGGTGTAAGGTAATTAGTAGGTGTGAGGTCTGTATTACTTACAACTACGAGTAGTTGTTTATTGGAGGGTCGGGTTATATTTGTAACCGCCCGTCCCAGATATGAACTGAGTTGGGATTATAATAACTAACAAGTTACAACTTACAAGGAAGTCAACCAAGGCGACCCCATAAACGCACTGTAAACCTGGGCCGTGGGGCTGAGTTTGGATCTTCTACCCATAATAATCTATCCACGCCTCACTACTCACTACAGCTGTACATTGAGAATATCTCTCACATTTATATGTTACCATTTATAGAAAGATATTCCCAATAGACAGCTGTGGTGTCATGTGGGTAGAATTCTTGTAGGTGTGAGATCTGAATTCTATGAGATCAACACGAAACAGCTGCATTCCACGCTCATGGTTTGCAGGAATAAAGGTCTGAAATTAGAATAAGGGTCGTTCCTATTCCAATTGTTTGATTGGATAGAATTGGAAGTTAATGTGAAATGACATTCTTCCATTTGAAGAATGACGATTTTCTTGCAAAATGAAATTTCATTTCTGCTGCTGATTTCAATTTGACATTCTTCCATAAACCAAACGGATCCTAAGAATTTTTTCCCTGACGACTAATTTGTTTAGTTGGCTCATTGGGTGCTACATTTGAAGGTTGAAGCATAACTATTTCCACAGCTCCAAAAAATACTAGCCAGCAAACGGGACCAAAGTGCGCCCCTGGATTCTCTCTCTCTCTCTCTCTAAGTTTTGACTTCCGCCTATTCCCACCCACCCATTCCACCTATAAAAGCCTCCTTCAGCCCTTCCAGAGACTCCAACAACTCCTCTCAAGTCCCATCTTCTCTGTGGACAGGTCGGCCGGCTGAGACATCTTCTCGTTCTGTGCTCGTGAACAATCTTTCACGGTGAGACCACTCGCCCGTACATATCTTTGCATCTAATGATCAACCTTTAGTCCTGATTATTTTCTCATTAATATTAACGAATTACATCTGTGAATTGTGTTGAGTTTGCTTGTATCGTTCTTTGAACAAAACCCAATAATATCAGCTTGATATTATATTGCTTAATTATGTAAGATGTGTCCGGTCATTTCTAACTCTGAATTAAACCTTCTGGTATCGAAGCTTTGGTTCTTCTAAGTTCTAAGCAAAATACAACCAATTGTCATCTGTTCACCTGTCTTTCTCCCTACGCTCATCATCTCTCCTGTCAAGAGTTCCTATTTTTCCTTCACCCAAATTAAAAACTGAAAAGGAAGAAGAAGAAAAAGAAGTTTCTCTCTTATCTAGATTTTCTGTCCTTGATGAAAAATAGATGCTAAACCGTGCATATACATTCTCTCTTATAGAATTCGAGTGTAGGATCGCGCAAACTTCACGCTGTGGAAATTCAGGGCGTTTAATTAACCAGAAAGAAAAAAAAAGAATGGGTGTAGGAAGCGAAATCGGAAGTCAGGGCTACCAGACAGATCTGGAGTCGGAGTCTGACACGGGAAGCACGAGAATTGGGTTGAGTGGCCCCTTGAGTGGTCCTCTGAGTGGCCCATTAGTGACCAGTACAAAGAAGAGCGGCAACAGACGAAGTGCAAGGTTCAAGGACGGAGACGACTATGTAGAGATCACACTGGACGTCCGCGAGGACTCGGTCTCGGTGCAGAATGTTAAAGGAGGAGACCATGAAACGGCAGTGCTGGCGAGTCGACTGGAGACGACGACGACGACGAGGACTTCCTTGGGGTCCCTCCTGGGATCCCAATTCTCAATGAAGATAAAGCAGGTGTCGAAGGAGCTGAAGCGCATGGCTTCCTCCAATAGGTTCAACAGGCTCGATAGAACCAAGTCCACCGCCACCCGTGCCTTACGAGGGCTCCAGTTTATCACCGAGAACGTCGGCACCGATGGCTGGGCCGAGGTTGAAAGCCGGTTCAGTGAGTTGCAGGTCGACGGTTCGCTTCCCAGGTCTCGCTTTGGTAAATGCATAGGTAACTAACTTATCTTACCTGACCCTCTCTGGACATCGACAGTTCTACAATCTTCTTACCCATTTATGTCTGATACTGATTTCGTCGTCAGGAATGAGCGAATCGGACGAGTTCGCTGGTGAATTATTCGACGCGTTGGCTCGTAAGAGAGGAATAGTGTCTCATCTGATTACCAAAGCTGAGCTTCGCGAGTTCTGGGAGCAATTAACTGATCAGAGCTTCGATGCCAGGCTTCAGACCTTCTTTGACATGTAAGAAGAGAATTCACCCAGTTTTCGTCATTAGGCCGGGGGTCTCATCTTTTGTCAGCCCATGATTACTGAAAGAAATCTGTGAAAATGTAATGCAGGATTGACAAGAATGCAGATGGGAGAATCGCAGAGGAAGAAGTGAAAGAGGTTAGTTAATATATAATTAATTAATTAAAAGCATTAAAATATCATATTTATTATTATTATTTTCTGATGAAAGAAAGTCAAATTTTAGTGCTCAATTGATGGACTAATAATTTATTGACGATGGGCTGATGGTGATGGGGTGGGTGAATTTTTGTCCAGCTTATCACGCTTAGTGCTTCGGCTAACAAGCTGTCAAAGATCCTGGAAAGTGCTGATGAATACACGGCCATGATCATGGAAGAATTGGACCCTGACAACCTGGGTTACATTGAGGTCCGTATCCAAACATCCCAACACACTGTTCTCATGTTCTGTACCCTTCTTCTTTTATTTAACAAATTACCTACGCTTCGATTCATTTACACAGGTTCATAGCTTGGAGACATTACTGTTGCAAGCCCCGAATCAGTACTCCACGAATTTGGGGACCCAGAGTCGTAAACTGAGCCAAATGTTGAGTCAGAAGCTGGTGCAGACCCAGGAGCCTAATCCCATCAAGCGGTACTACCGGAAGGCGGCCTACTTCCTAGAGGACAATTGGAAGCGGGTGTGGGTGCTGGCGCTCTGGATTTCCATCTGTGCCGGGCTCTTCACATGGAAGTTCATCCAGTACAAGAATCGGGAGGTGTTTGATATAATGGGCTACTGTGTTACCACGGCCAAGGGCGGAGCCGAGACGACCAAGCTCAACATGGCCATTATTCTGCTCCCTGTATGCAGAAACACCATAACCTGGCTGAGGAGCAGAACCAAGCTGGGGCTAATTGTTCCCTTCGACGACAACATAAACTTCCATAAGGTCATCGCTCTGGGGATTGCGATAGGAGTGGGGCTGCACGCTGGTGCCCACTTAACTTGTGATTTCCCTCGGCTTCTGCACGTCACGGACCAACAGTATGAGCCGATGAAGCCTTTCTTCGGCGCGACACGCCCTCCCAACTACTGGTGGTTCGTCGAAGGAACGGAGGGTTGGACGGGAGTGGTGATGCTGGTGCTCATGATCATCGCTTACGTATTAGCCCAACCGTGGTTCAGAAGGAACAAGCTCAAGGACAAGCTTCCTAAACCCCTCAAGAGGCTCACTGGTTACAATGCCTTCTGGTACTCCCACCACCTCTTCTTCATTGTCTACGTCCTCTTCATCGTTCATGGCTACTTCCTCTACCTCCAGAAGACATGGTACAAGAAAACAGTAAGCATCCATCTTCAATTCACTTTTGTACGTGAGAGCTTTTAATTTTTATATATTCATTCCATGGCAGCCACTAGCCAGCCCCTTTGCGCCAATTTCACATTTCTCATACGGAAACCCTTAATTATATTGCAGACATGGATGTATCTGGTACTCCCGCTCACATTGTATGCAAGCGAGCGTCTGCTTAGTGCCTTCAGGTCTGGCTATAAGACGGTGAAGATTTTGAAGGTATTAAGTTGCTCCGATGCCCATCCCTGAACCCTGATCCAGTAGTCCACACAAGTTCGATCATTAGTCATTTACATTTGGTATTAATTTCTTATGCATATCTCTAGGTTGCTGTGTATCCCGGAAATGTGCTGGCGCTCCATATGTCCAAACCCCAGGGATTTAAGTACAAAAGTGGACAGTATATCTTTGTCAAATGTTCTGCTGTTTCTTCTTTGCAATGGTAATTAATTAAATAATAAGGGAGTTTATTTTTCTTATTTATATAGTTGCTTCATTCATTTCTGATGTTATTTTTGGGCTATCTTGTGTTTGCTTTTGTTTCAGGCATCCTTTCTCCATAACATCAGCTCCTGGAGACGATTACCTGAGTGTTCATATTCGCACATTAGGTGACTGGACATCACAGCTCAAATCCGTCTTCTCTCAGGTACATACGTGATCTATATATCATCTGGAAATTAAACATATATACAGATCCACTCCTTAATTTGTAATTAACCTTTGACGTCTAACTCTAAACACAGGTTTGTCAACCTCCATCCGCGGATCAGAGTGGACTTCTCAGGGCTGATATCAACACAGGCAATAACGCTCCCAGGTAATTAATTAAATAATTAGAATTCTTCATGATGTCTTTTCTGGGTTTGGACGGACTTATATATGTATCGATTGTAATAACGAACTCGATCGTCGTTATAATTAAGCAGGTTGCCCAGGCTGTTGATCGATGGCCCATACGGAGCTCCGGCACAGGATTATAAAGAATATGATGTCCTCCTCCTTGTTGGGCTGGGGATCGGAGCGACGCCATTGATCAGTATAGTGAAGGACGTGCTGAACAACATCAAGCAACAGAAGGATATTGAAGAAGGGAGTGTGGTGCAGAGTGGGGGTGGTGCTAAGTCCAACAAGAAGAAACCCTTCGCCACAAAACAAGCCTACTTTTACTGGGTCACCCGTGAGCAGGGATCATTTGAATGGTTCAGGGGAGTATTGAATGAAGTGGCGGAGTATGATCGAGATGGGGTGATTGAGCTGCACAACTATTGCACCAGTGTGTATGAAGAGGGTGATGCTCGATCCGCGCTCATTGCCATGCTTCAGTCCCTCCAGCACGCCAAGTATGGCGTAGACATCGTGTCCGGGACACGAGTCAAGACACACTTTGCCAGGCCAAACTGGCGCAACGTATTCAAGCATGTGGCCGTTAACCACCCAGATCAGCGCGTCGGTAAGATCCATGAATTCATGACCAATGAACCAGCTTTTTATATATATTTGCAGTTTAGTTTTCAAATTGTTGCATGGTTTATAACTAGAAGAAACTGATGTAATTGCTGGTCTGAACTTGTTACAGGTGTGTTCTATTGTGGGGCTCCTGGTTTGACTGGGGAATTACGACGATTAGCTCGGGACTTTTCGAGGAAGACTCCGACCAAGTTTGAGTTCCACAAGGAGAACTTTTGAGTTCGATACATACAGGATCGATCTATTTTGTAAAGGTCATATGTAGAAAATCATTAGCAATACGAAAAGTGCTATTTCATTTTTAGTTTCTTACTTTGGAAAATCCTGAAAAGGACTGCATGCATGCTTCTTCTTTCTTTTTGTTTTCAATGTATATATACATATATATATATATTACCATTGAAAGCCGCAAGGCTGATGTGATTTTTGTTGGGTTTCATCAACTTATCAGTAATTAATACTATTTAATATTTCTAGTGGTTTGGACTTTGGAGCTGAAAATGATCTCAGAACATAAATTAAAGCTTTCATATTTATGTYTCATTTATTTTCAATTACTTGGGTAAATGAATTTAGTAGGACAAGTATTTCTTAGGTAAAATTTGCTTGGGCAAGTTTGGTTCCAATTACAGCATTCTTGTGTACTATATGTTATTTGGGTAAAGAGAGATCTTAGCTAGGTAGGAGAGAGTGAGCTTTGTTGGGGCACAAATAAGTTTGGTAAAATAATTCCATCATGTTTTGTAAAACTTTCTTCTAGGTGGGAAAGTTACTTACTCACATGGGAGATGGGTAAGTTTTACTGTTAGGATTGAATTGGGAGTCTCCGGGATTAGGAGACTCCGTTGAGTTAGGATCGAATTAGGAGTTCCGTTTTGAGTTTAAGTTCCTGTAAACTTAGGAGATTCGATGTTCGATGGCTGTGTATAGCTGTGTATATATATCTAAATCTTCAATGAATGAAAATAAGAAAAAAAGCAAACCAGAAAAGCTCTGGTTTTACATGGTATCAGAGCCACGAGAGGTCTGTGTTCCAAGACCTCTGGAGATCACTGGCGGCAGCGACGATATTCGGTGCCGGGAAAGGAGAAACTTTGCTCGCCAGATTCCGATCAAGACTCCGTCTTCCACAGAGTTCGATCTTCGCCTTCGTCCTACCAAGACTGCAACCGGCGGTGGAAGCGGCGATCTGTTACCAATGGTGCGAACACTGAGAGGCGGGAATCGTACCAGCGGCGGCAATTTGTTACCAGTGGTCGTGTTTTGTTCCAGTGGCGGCGATCTCTTACCAGCGGCGGCGATCTGTTACCAGTGGCAGCGATCTCTTACCAGCAGTGACGATCGTGTTTCGTTCTGATGGCGGCGATCTCTTACCAGCGGCGGTGATCTGTTACTAGTGGGCAATCTCTTACTAGCGGCATCGATCCATTACCAGCAATTGCCTTCTTTTTGGAGCAAAAGCTTCAGAAGAGGTTGGTTGCGGATGACTCGCGAGTTCGGTTGCAATCCCAAATCTGACGAACAGTTTTTATAAGGACTGGCTCGCGAGTTTGATCAGTGCAATCCCAAATCTGAAGAGCAGTTTTTTAAGAACTAAAGCCCATCGATGGCCAAAAACAGAGAAAAAGAACAGAGCAGTGGTCAATTGACAAGGAATGTGATCTCGCCCAACCTTCTATCAACCAATGACAATCCAGGCAGCATTATCACACAGATCTAGCTTAGAGGCGACAACTATGATGAATGGGCTCGAGCAATAAGAACGGCGCTGCGAGCCAAGAAAAAATTCGGCTTCATCGATGGATCGGTGAAGCAACCTCCGGACGATTCGGTGGAATTGGAAGATTGGTGGATGGTGAATTCCATGCTTGTGTCATGGATTCTGAATACGATTGAACCTAATTTACGTTCAACCGTAACGTACACTGAGATTGCACAGACACTCTGGGAGGACATAAAGGAGCGATTCTCTATCGGTAATGGACCACGTGTTAAACAACTCAAATATGAGCTGGCAAATTGCAAACAAAGAGGAATGATAATTCTAAATTACTATGGCAAACTCAAGATGATTTGGAAGGAATTGGGAAATTATGAGCAATATCCCACTTGTCAATGTGGAAAGTGCAGCTGCAACATAAGCAGGGCATGGGATAAGAAGCGAGACGAAGAGAAACTTCATCAGTTTTTTATGGGGCTAGATGACATGGTCTATGGAGGTGTGCGTTCGCATATACTGAGTACAGAACCCTTGCCAAGTTTGAATCGAAACTATGCTATAGTAATTCAAGAGGAGCAAGTTCAAATCATGACTAGAGCAAAGGAAGAGAAGACTGAAGTTGTGGCCTTCGCAGCCCATGCACGGAAGAGGCAAAGCAAAGGCAGAGACAACAACGTAGTATGTACTCACTGCAACAAGGCAGGTCACGATACAGAGTCTTGTTTCCAACTAATCAGCTACCCTGAATGGTGGGGCGATCGGCCGAAGAATAATGTTCGTGGAACAGGCCGAGGACGTGGTGGACAGAAACAAGGAGCAGGGGCAGGCGGAAAAGGATGTGGTGGCCAAGTCAAGGCCAATACAGCCAAAGCCTCTGCGCAAGGCAATGCGTGTCAAGGAGAATCAACTGATACAGCCAAGACTGTGATAAATGGACTAAGTAGTGAGCAATGGAACAAATTACTCAACCTTCTGAACACACGGAAAGATGGGAGTCAACGACTAAGTGGTAAGCAAAAACTGTCAGAATGGATAATAAACACAGGGGCCTCTCATCATATGACAGGAAGCCTCGAGTCAATGAGAGACATAAAGAATGTCATTCCGTGTTCTGTCGGGCTACCAGACGGGAAAGCGACAACAGCTGAGAAAGAAGGCACAGTTGCACTGGACGATTATCTAAAACTAACTAGTGTTTTATATGTGCCTAATTTGAATTGCAATTTACTTTCTGTCTCGCAATTGATTGAGGATTCGAATTGTGTTGTCCAGTTCACTAATAAATTATGTGTGATACATGACCGCACTACGAGGATGCTGATTGGAGCGGGTGAGCAGAGAGAGGGACTCTATTATTTCCAGAGCATTACATCAACAAGAGCAATGAAGACTACAGAGAGCARAACGTGGGATATTTGGCATCAAAGGTTAGGGCATCATTCTCATAGAGCTGTTAAGTTGCTCCCTTTTATTAGTACTAAGAATAATAATGATGACAGTATTAAGGGTTGTGATGCATGATTCCGAGCTAAACAATGTCGAGAAGAATTTGTTTCTAGTAATAATAAAGCATCCGATATTTTTGAGTTAATTCAATTGTGATTTATGGGGCCCGTATAAAACTACAACCTCTTGTGGTGCTCATTATTTCTTGACCATAGTAGACGATTTTTCTAGAGGCGTTTGGATCTATTTTCTGGTTGATAAGACGGAAGTGGGACGAGTTCTTCGAAATTTCTTTGCTATGGTTCAAAGGCAATTTAACAAACCTGTAAAGGTGATCTGTACTGATAATGGGACTAAGTTTGTATGCTTGGGTAGTTATTTTACTGAAAATGGTATTATTCATCAAACCACTTGTGTCGGGACCTCTCAAAAAAACAGGAGGGTTGAACGTAAGCACCGCCACATACTCAATGTTGCCCAAGCCTTGCGCTTTCAAGCTAGCTTGCCTATTGATTTTTGGGGGGGATGTGTCTTGACCGCATGTTATTTGATCAATCGAACACCATCCATTCTGTTGAAAGGAAATACTTCCTATGAAATGCTATTTGGGCGACCTCCTTCTTATGATAATGTGCGAGTTTTTGGTTGCTTAGCATATGCACACAATCATGAACATGGAGGGGATAAATTTGTCAGTCGGAGCAGGCGGTGTGTTTTTATTGGGTATCCTTTTGGAAAGAAAGGATGGAGCTTGTATGACTTAGAGTCCGACAAGTTCTTTGCATCTAGAGATGTTACTTTTTTAGAGCATGAATTCTCGTATGCACACAAAGAGGATGCATAGCCGAACAAAGCTCAATGTCAATTTAATTATGGAATAGGTGGGACAGATGAGGTGTTGGTACCATCCACTTGTTTACCTGGACTAGCAAATGGTGAGATCGAGACTACCCAGCGAGATGAACTCGTTGAAGAAGGAGTCCGTGTAGAAGAAGGAACCCACGTAGACCCAAATGCAAATACTGGTGAACCCATGCATTCTTGTGACGCCACCACAGAGAATGCAACCAAAGACAGTTCTGATGTTAGGGGGGTAGTGATGTTAAGCAACAGCAGCATGTTGAGCAACAACAGCACTCTGAATTTCATTTGGGAYGTGGGCATCGACAGAAACAATAGCCCACAAGGTTGAGAGATTATGTGCTTCACACCACACAGTGCTTGAGTTCCTCTTCGCGTCCCTTTGCAAGCTCACTCGGCCAATCACATCCTGCAGGTAGTCTTTATCCCATAGATAAATATGTGAATTGTAACAGTTTTTCTTGTCGACATCGTGCTTTTTTGGCAGCTATTACTGCAGGAGTTGAACCTACTTCCTTTGCTGAGGCCGTAAAGGATGAAAAATGGAGGGATGCATTGCATAGGATGCAAATGGATATATCGAATCAAGTACAATGCTAATGGGACAGTGGAAAGATACAAAGCCTGTCTCGTGATTTTTGGGAACAAGCAGGTTGAGGGAATTGATTATAATGAAACTTTTGCCCCAGTTGCAAAAATGGTTACTGTCCGTACCTTTCTTGCAGTTGTAGCAGTTAGAAATTGAGAGCTTCATCAAATGGACGTACATAACGCATTCTTGCACGGTGACCTTCATGAGCAAGTCTACATGCAAATGCCTCCTGGTTTCCAATCAGATAAACCAGGTATGGTGTGTCGGTTGCGAAAGTCTCTGTATGGCTTGAAACAAGTGCCAAGATATTGGTTTGCTAAATTAACCACAGCTTTGAAGACATATGGGTTTCAGCAATCAGGTTCAGATTACTCCCTATTCACCTTTCATCGAGATAGGGATATGTGTTTGTCCTCGTGTATGTGGACGACATTATCGTGTCAGGTAATGATCGTATGGCAATTCAAGTCTTCAAGAAATATTTGAGTGACTGCTTGCATATGAAAGACTTAGGACCATTGAAATGTTTTTTGGGCATTGAAGTTGCCCGAAACTCAACAGGAATTTTTCTGTCTCAATGAAAGTATGCTTTGGATATTATCACTGAAGTTGGATTACTTGGTGCAAAACCTGCTCCTTTTCCTATGGAGCAGAATCACAATCTGGCCTTGATAGATGGGTCTCTCTTATCTGATCCTAAGCGATACAGGTGCTTGGTGGGCAGGTTTATTTATCTCTCAACAACTCGTCCTGAGTTGTCTTATTGTGTGCATGTTCTGTCCTAATTCATGCAGCAACCGCAAGAAAGACATTGGGAGGCTGCATTGCGAGTGGTGCGCTACTTGAAAGAAAATCCTGGTCAAGGAATTCTCTTGCGTTCAGATTGTGACTTGCAGTTATATGCATGGTGTGATTCAGATTAGGCGAGCTGTCCTTTGTCCCGACGTTCCCTATTTGGGTGGTTTATTCTATTTGGGAAATCGTCGATTTCCTAGAAAACTAAGAAACAACACACTGTGGCTCGTTCTTCAGCGGAAGCAGAGTATCGGTCTATGGCCACGGCCACGTGTGAGTTAAAATGGCTGAAGGGATTGTTATTGGCTCTTGGAGTGACGCATTCGAACCCAATGCGATTATATTGTGATAGTCAGGCAGTCTTGCATATTGCAGCAAACCCAGTGCTTCATGAGCGTACGAAACATATTGAAGTTGATTGCTATTTTGTTTGTGATGAGATTCAAAATGGTTGCATTCGCCCTACTTATGTGTCGACTACCGTTTAGCTGGCTGACATTTTTACAAAGGCGCTGGGTCGTAGAGAATTTGAGTATTTTCTCCGCAAGTTGGGCATTCACAATCTGCATGCTCCAATTAGGGGGGGGGTGTTAGGATTGAATTGGGAATCTCCGGGATTAGGAGACTCCGCTGAGTTAGGATCAAATTAGGAGTTCCGTTTTGAGTATGAGTTCCTGTAAACTTAGGAGATTCGATGTTCGATGACTGTGTATGGCTGTGTATATATATCTAAATCTTCAATAAATGAAAACAAGAAAAAAAACAAACCAGAAAAGCTCTTATTTTACATTTACCCAATAAAGTAAGGATCATAACACATGAAAATTGGTCAATGGGAAAAAGTTACCCATTAACCAACTTTCCCACAACGAGGCCAACAACTGAGACTCTTTGGAAATTCCCAATATAACGGCATTTGAATATGGGGATTGTGATTAATTGCCAGTTTGACCAACTTACCCTCCGTTAAATACTAACAACAAATGAACAATGCGTAGAGCCAGCATACTTTCATCTACTTGGAACCCACCTGCCATCTAGTGATAAGTCTGATTAACCAACTACGGCAGGGGTGCTGCAACTTGGGCAGGCTGAGCTGGGTTTAGGGACAGTCAGCCCTTGCACAAAATCCTATTCCGAAGACATGGTTCTTCCGGTCAAAGCCCACTATTAATGCCTGAGCTGGCCACCAGAGGCCCAACCCAGGCAACTTGACAAATCCACGTTGTCTTGGGACTCTTGGGTTCAGAATGGACTACTGGGATAGTGGTCTAACCTTGATCTCCACGGTCCAATCCAAGCCCTGGTTCAAGCTTAGTGTGACAAGCGAAAAAGCCTGATGTTCCTCTACCAAGGCTAGCCCAAGGTCCAAAATGCAGAAACAACCTGTGCGACTGGTTCGGTTCACCCACGTTTCACCCGTAGTTCTGATCCTTCAAATGGCCAGTTATTAGTTAGGCCGCGTTTTGTTTGAAAGAAGGAGAAACAGAAAATTGATGAAAGGTTCTTAACAAAAATTTGTGATATTCCTCAACTTTCTGCTTTTCTACTATTTTATATCAACCAAATACAGCCTTAGTGAACCGGAATTTTAGTCCAAGTATTCTTGGGTGCAAATATGCAAGTGTTTGTTGTTATTGGCCGATGAATCATAATATACACAGCGCTGTATTCCGGTTTCCGGATTCCTCTGATCTGGGCCTGGATATCCATGTATCCTACCCGTACCCAAACTGTTCACACTTGACGCCACTGCATGCGACGCTGCAGCCCAGGCCCAACCCAATTCAATCCTGCAATGACGAACTCACGAAACTATCCATGCTGTATTTTCCTATTCTGCTATTCATAGAATGTATGGACAAAAAGCTGAAAAAGATCCCCCAATGGGCCGGGCCCTACCCCTCACGGTCCATAAATCGCACTTCCGAGGTGGGTCCGGTTGTGGGCCCCTGAGGATTTCGAATCGAAATCCATATTTCAATGCAATTWATCAATTCGCCCGCTCAAATCCAACTCCAACTGTCCAACAAATGTTTCTTTTCTATTTTTCTATTCCAAGGAGTTTTAACTGTTCAGTCCATTATTAGAAATTCTAGCTCCGCTTTAGATGTAGAATGATGTCAGTACAGTCTATTTATCCCAAAAATTTAAATAATAATTGTATGATGCCGGAAAGGTAGGCTACCGAAATCTGAAAAGCTCAATTTGAAACGTGAACGAATCAACAAACCCCAAGTTCCCAACTGAGCTGAACTCCCTCTCGAAGTCTTCGCCCGCTCCTTTCTTGTATTCTCTGGTCTCCTACCTCATTTGAGGTTTAAGCTTCCTGAAACTGAGGGTGTACAACTTACAGGATCAATCTGTGATAACGCTCCAAAATACTTGAAATCTGCCATACGAAATCCTAAACCCAGTCCATTTCGATAGATCATCGGCATATCGACCGATTTGAGCTCTAATGGCGAATTCTGAGCCGGCTTCACTTGCTGTGTGTTCGACTGTTTCTCCTCTGACTTCGGTAACATTCTCCATACAATAATTGCTAATTCCGTAATTTCTTTCTTTTGTTCCTGGAATACATCCCCTTCTGGAATTTTTCCGTTTATTCCCATTGTTAACCTTTTTATGGTGGAAATCTTTGTTTCAACCTTCTAAATGAAGGAGCTTCTCGATCTTCTTCCAAATATGAATTTTTGCTACTTGGCCTAACATTGACTATCCTATTCTTCGTGTATATGTTCAGAAAAAAGAAAACATGACTCCCATTGGCTCAAAGATCTCTGTGAGTTGGACTCTTTGCTCTCTCTGTCTCTCTACCTACCTACCTATCTATCTATCTATCTATCTATCTATCTATCTATCTTTCTACCTATCTATCTATCTCATAATCAGTATCACTCTCACTAAAGTGCTCCAATGCCCTGACCGTCATTTGCAGGAATTAAACGAATCTAGATCGGAGCTGCTTAGCAGAATTCAAGGGTTAAAACAGGTGATTCGCGACGGCCTTTTTTCCCCTTTTACAGAAGCCTCTCTCTCCCTTACYGACTACTTTTTTTTCTTGCGCGCATTACAGGACTTGCAGAACTGGAGGTCCAAATTAGATACCCAAGTTAAAATCTACCGCGATGTGAGTGTTATGAGTGTTTCTTCCCTTTTCCTTCTTGTGTTTTTCTAATTGTCTTGGATTTGCATTATTGGTTTTCTTGTGAGGTTATTTTGTGCCGCGATGCCTCTTTTGGCTTTTCCAGATGCTCTTGTAATCTTCTGACTTAGGGCTTGTATTAATTAATTATCTTCTAAGTAGGTTATTTCTTTTCATTTGATTAGGATGCTTATCTAGTGGTTATGCAATATTTCCTCTTATAATACAAAACATGCATGTATTATTTAAACTTCTTTGCTTTAAAAGGATTTATCAACAGAGTAATTTGTTGTTCATAACATCTATTGCTAACATTGCTAAGGCTGCGTTTGGAATCGGTGTAAAAGTTTACACCGTTTGATTTTGTCTGCATTTGGACGGAGAGTGTAATCATGATCGACGTAAAACTCCACTCTGGTTCAGTTTTGCGTATGTTTGGAAGGAGTGGAGTTTTACGTTGATAGTCGATGTAAAACCTATCAAATGTAAAGTTTTACATTGATTATTGATGTAAATACTACATCGATTTAATCCATGTAAAACTTTACACTCTTCACCCATCGCATTTTTCAAAAAGCAGCGGTTACTTTCACAGTTCAGTGTAAAACGTCATTGGCGTACTTTACACCGATGACGTTTTACACTGATTCTAAACGCAGCCTAGTTCTCTGAGTTCCTGCACTCCCTTCAAATCTATTGCTAATTTTCTTTCTGTTTTCTATCATGTTTTGTGTTATGCTTTGGTGAAGAGAAACGTTGCAACTAAGGGATGTTAACAGATTGACTATGTTGTGAAAAACCTAGAAACACTGATTTGAACGCACAAAATAACAGATTAAGTGTTGCTTGGATTGGTATTGCAAATAACCCGATTAATATATTGACAAAGCCTCTTCTTATGGCTAAGTTCAAGTGTTGCTTGGATTTGATTGGTGTATGCAACACTCGAGATATGCCTGTTGGGGGCTTATGTAGAGAAGGTGAAGAGAGTCTACTTTTATTGTGTGGCTTGATAGACTTCAAGCCAAGGTGGAGATTTTTTGAGTTTGTGCCTTGAATTTTAATCTACAACATGCTCAATGATCCAACCAGATGTTTTGGGGAAGAACCCGAATAGGAATCTTCAATGAGGTCTGTGGTGGTAGTGAAGGATATGGACCAGGCTGCTTTGTTTATGGGTCCTATATTGATTGTAGGGCTTTCTGAACCATGTAAATCTGCATGTGTTTTTTGTTCTCCTCTCCTTTTTCCTTCTCTTTTCAATATCTGTGTGCTTCATTTTTGTGCCATTCGAACTTGCTTGATTCTGGTTTGGTGTAACAGATCTCTTCTTAATGATACAATAGGTGGTTTTCTATGAACATGCCTAAGCCATCTTAGTCTACTTTCTCTCACTTTGTTATCAATTGGGATTGCCTCTATGGTCCTATAAATGCAGTCATTTGTCTACTACATTCAGCAGTTTATTTTATGCACTTATTTATTAATTATTACTTTATATGTTGAATTCTCTAGAACAAAAGCTGCTAATTTGTAGTTAAAACTCAATGGTTTCAATCTTGTTAGAGCCATTTTGTTTATTTATTATATTTTTGAAGATTGTGCCCTTTATACTTAAATAAAGAACTTGTGTCACCAGGGTTAATTAAGTGGTGGTGATTCTCATGCCTTAAATTGAAACTTGATATGCAAACAGAAAAAAGTAGGAGGGGGTGAGCTGCCTCTTGATATTTGATATATAAAAGTTCTCTCTCCTTATGGCCATGGTCAAACCTTAAGGCGTCATTTGGTTTGTGAGAAGATTTGGGTGGGATGGGAAATGATGGGATGAGAAAGTGTGAAATTTTTACTTTTTATTGTTTGGTTATACAATGGTGGAAAAAATCCTTTTTCCATGTTTGTTTTGTGGGAAGAAAACAAGTCTAACTAAGGAAGATAGAGGGGAGAAGGAAGAAAACACCGCGTTTGGTGCATTCTGAATTTCTGATGCATTGTCATCCAAACAAAAGCTAGTCATGACCAAAACCATATTGGAATCTAAAGAATAATTAGCATCATTTGAAACACCCAAATAGCAAACCAGATGGATATTCGATCCAATGTTCATCATGTCATGGGGAAAAGCAAGTCAAACAATAAAACAAACATGGCAAAACGAAGAATAACTTTATACACAGATCAAGCAATAAAGCTCAATTCATTAACTCTCTCTCCCTTTTTTTTTCCTGAGCAAGAACCGATACGTTATATGTCTCTTTCAAATTACACATCATGATAACATTAGGTTTATATCAAAATCAAAACAATAAACAAGAAAGAGATACAATACAGAGAGGTCGGAATGCGAATCACCGATCTCATAATCATAACTAGAAGCGGAATCGGAGTCATCAAATGAGTAATTGTAGCACAAATCGGGTGGAGGGAAGCAGAAGAAAGTCCACAAGCAGAAAACTAGACAACCTAATTGCTGCAACTATAAAAGACACATAAACTCCAATACTTGTTGGCTGCTCAATATCTTCGGATTGCAATTAATGTATTGGCACACATTCACTAAGAGGTTTGGTACAACCACCACAATAAGACTATTAAAAACCATCTCTCCTTTGTATTCGTCCTCTCTTGTTTTCTGATGTTGTGCTTCTCACTTCAATTCAAATCTTCATTTCAATTCTTCTTGCGAGTTGCGACAAGGAAAACCATGGAGAAAATGGAAAAGAGAGAGAATGGAGTTTCACTCTAGCCAAACCTTCGCCGGTGACATCAAAGGAAACAACTGGATCTCCAACCATTGAGGGGGAAGTAAAAGAGATGGGGAAGAAAGAAGAATGAGCCAAAAAACAAAATAGCAGATGAGCAAAGGAAGTAGAAGATGGATCTAGTCTTACCTTTGAACGAAATGGCCAAAGAAATTGTCAGCGATCCAACTGTTGGGATGGGTAGAGGTCGAAGAATAAGAGTCTCTTGAGGCTCTCTGCTCTAACCAAACCCGTAAATTATTTTCAGCAAAGTTTTCTCACTGGGGCCGCACTATTTTGGTGAGGTCCCGATTACACGATTTTGGGATCCCGCATCCTGCATTTTTTTCATCCCATCCCCCTATTTCTCTTAAAACAAACAAGGGAAAAGGAATATTTTTGGAATATTTCTTTTTTCTCATCCCCATCCCACAAACCAAACAAAGCCTAAGTAAACAATACCCCTTTGTCTTTTGAGCACTAGAGATGGAGTAGGTTAAGGATGGAGGCTTGAAGGCTTCTTTCATCTTAAGATGGTGGCCAACAGAAATATTCCAAGGCTCTATTACTTGAATACTAGACTTTAACATTGCACATGGCTCAAAATTCATTATTCTTAACATTTATTGACTATTCATGTATTAATTGTTAGTTACCAGGTGCCAAAACAGTCAATAGAACACTGTTGTTCTAGTCAAGTTCTTTGGAGATGAATTATAAATGACTTAGGAATTCTGCTAGGCAATATGATTTGGGGCCGAAAACAACCCAAAAAGCTCATACCCGCTATCTACTAGACCAATAGCTTGAAAGCCATATTTACATGTTAAAAGTAACTATTTTCTCTTGGTAGTTTTTAAACAAAAGATATATTTGAAATCCCTAGTCTTGGGAAAAGTGCCAATTCAAAGTGAGGTATAGGGCTGTAGTGGACTAGTGGACTCTGATACCTAGAACTTGTTCAAGGATTCTGTATTGTGTTGGATATTTCAAACTTAGTTTAAATTCCATTAAGTTCTAACCTCCATCTTCCTTGTTAGCTAGTCAATTTGCTTAAATACCTCTGTGTGTCCAAATTGCTTTCTTCTTATTTTTTAACTTACCAACCACCATATGAGAGTCCCTTTCGATGATTATTCTCTACAAGTTCACTTCTTTTGCTTTTTGTACCCCATATAATGCAGCCATTCACATGGTTTTTAAAAACGAATCGGTGATTGAACCGGTCAGGGGTCCGGTTACCGGTTCAAATGGTCCGACCGTTCTACCCGAACGGCCGGCCCGTTCTGACAAAAAAAATAAAAAAATTGGAAAACGGTCAAAACCGTTCAAACGGCTTGAACGGTTTGAACGGTTAACCGGCCGGTTCAGCGGTTTGCTGACCAAAATCAACGATTTTGAGGGAAAAAGCAGTTTTGGAGGAAAACGGAACCGGTTCCCGGTTTTTCCAGTCCGACCATCCGGTCCGGTCCGGCTTTGAAAGCAGTGGCCATTCAGTCTTCGTAGAGTCTTCCAAACTTACTGAACCCGAGAACAATTCCAAGATGTGACCTTCCTTATCCCTAAAAACACCTCCCACACCTAAGGGGCTGGATTTCAAATGCTACCACCATCAAAATTTAGTTTCATAAAGATGTCTTCAGGTGGTTCCCACTCTTTAATGCATTTTGAACTTTCTTGATGATGCTGCCACTTCCCTAAAGTTCTTCATGTTTGGTCCATTAGCCTTGGCTAACTTAGATTACCCTCTTTGCTATTTGGCCATTTAAGGCCAACATTTTTAATATAATGCAAGTATGCAACCCTAGACCAATAGGCCACAACCTACAATAATTGGAAGAGAATATATGTAACAAGTTGTGACATTTAATTATGTTACAATTATGAATTATATAAGTAGACAAAAGTTTACTATTCACTTCCAAGAGCTTTCTGTACTTTTCCTTCTGAGTGGTAGAACAAAAGGATGTTAAGATGAAGGAATAGAGGGTGCATATTCATAAAGATGGTAAACTCCGGATGTCTGGTGTGGTGAACACCTCAACATACTGGCATCATTCGGGACAACAACTTTGTTTGCAATAAGGTTATTCTAGTTGTAGGATATGACTAAAATGTCTAGAAGATATTGTTGTTTGATCCTACATGCTTGTGGTATTTCTAGAGAATTTTTCTCTTTGAAAATGCTTAAATGGTGCTTATTCTTGAGTTAAGTGGTGGAGCAAATGGTACGAGTTCCTGTAA